AATGCAGAACTCGATTACCACCTGAAATTTAAAAATGAACGCTGACATAAAGGACAAGATCACTGCCACAACACCAAAACTAAGAAAGTAAAGCCTAGAGCAAACTTTCAGCAACATCATAATCTGGCGGTCGCTTGCCATCACATTGAGACCTGAATAAGAAACTTTGACATATTTTGCTCGGAACAACTGCAGTAAATCAGCATACACGGTGGTTCTGTCTCAGGTAAGAAAGGCAGAGTTAACCAAAATATTCTAGTCTGCGCCTTTAAAGATATTATCTGTCTGTGGTTATCTCAGATCAAGGTTAATGCACATTCTGTTTTTTAATGCATACTGCAGAACGTTGTTTGACTATAAAGTGCATCTTCTCGTGCTATTTATTCTACATTCTCCACTTAAATTGCCAACCCTTATTTTCAACAAAGATAACCAGCTTTCATCTGCATTGACGAAAAGATTTAGATGACAAAGTTCTTCTTTTAAAAGCATTTTTGTTTTCAACCTTTTTATGACAACACTTCTGTTATCAGTTGTCTCTTCCCATATTCTTTCAATTCTAAATATATCTCAAAGCCAAAATTAACTCAACTTATTGATCAGTGTCTAGTCCTTTGCATGGTGTACGTACCACTTGTATATGAGGGACCTTAATTGTCATTTTTGGTATGGTCAGTAAGAATGGTGGGTATTCACCCACGTCCGGACATACCTACGTCCACAGGCACATACACACAAACAGCAACAGGAACCAAAATAATGAAAACAGTCTGCGACACTCCTTATACTTTTTGTGCATTTTGCATTATGATATCTAAGAACGGTGTCTAAAATACAAAATATATTTTTCTCCCTCATATATTTCTACAATACCAGCATGTTGTTTAACGCTATATCCAATAAAGAAAATGCATGCGGGTTTATTTCGTAATCTTGTTGGAGAAGTTTCTTTCGGTTATTTTTGCATTGTTTACAAAGAAGTATTTCGATGCACACGAAAATCGGCCTAATCAGGTCATAAATAAGCTCATCACTGTGCTATATTTCATGGGCATATTTATGTCGAAGAAAAACAAGATATGTAGGCAGTTATTAGGTCCACATATCATTTTATAATAATGATAATAATAACAATTATTTATTTCTAAAAAACTGCACTGCTAATCTGTCTTAATGCTGTTTATACAAACAAAAATAACAGAATTACATGTAATTTTTTTTTAAACCTTAACACTATCTATTGTCCAAATGCATGAGGGTAGTTCATTCCATAAAATGCGTGCTGCAATTGAAAATGCCCTGTGGCCGTAGGTTTTGTATTTCTTTGTCAATTCTAGAAAAAAACAAAGGGTAGAGGTGGATCTGGTGGACCTGGTGAGATTGGCTGAGTTTGGATGTAGAAAAGAATTAAAAATGAAGTGCATTCTGGTGAATTTAAAAACAAACAGTAGTATTTTCAAAACAATTCTCTTTTGTACTGGAAGCCATTGTAGTTCAAATAAGATAGGTAAAATGTTTGATCTGAGAGGGGATTTGGTCAGTAGTCGTGCTGCAGCATTTTGGTCAGATTCAAGTTTTTCAATTTGGAACAGAGAAAGACCATACTGTAGACTGTTTCCGTAGTCAAGATGTGAAGTAATGAATGCATGGGCAAACCTCTCCATTTGACCTTTGTCAAGGGTATGGGATAGTTTGGAGATTTTTAAAGACGGTAGAAAACGGCTATAGTTATTTTACTGATGTCGACGGCCATATCGCACCTGTTATCAAAATTACTCCTAGGTTTTTAACTTCGTCTTTTACCCTGACCATGCTGTTTCCGATTTTTAATAGTTTGGCATCTTGAGAAAAACAAGAGGAAAAGTGAACTAACTTCTGTTTTGCCATCATTAAAAAAATAGTGAAAGGGCGATAAGCCATTGACTCAACTGACTTATATATTTCTGGATAGATGGTGTCACATCTAATGGTCTGTCGCAAATAACAGAGTATTGTGGTACGCCAAAAGCTAGTGGTGTTGATAGTGATTAGTAATGATTAGTATATGTGGCTAGCGTGACTGATGTTCAGACAGGTATGATTTGAACAATGTCGATGCAATACCATTTATATATCTTTTATATATGCACATATATCTTTATTAAGGGCATTTGTGTTATGCTTCTATTTCACACAGACCACGAATCCCACGAATCGCCAGGAATTGACAAATTTCAGGATTCTTGGTTGAATTGTAATCAGTTCGTGAAGTTCTTAACAGATTCGCATATAATCGTAGTCAGTTCTTGCAATTCTTGATCAATCGGGAAATCGTGGCAAAAACTTTGAGCTGTTCAAAATTTTGGCCACGAACACCTGATTCAAAAAAAAAAATAATAAATAATAATAATAATAATAAATAAATAAACAAAATGGTAGTGAATTCTTGACAATATTCGTGCGATTCCAGCCGAATCCCACGAACATTCGTAACACTATCACACCTGTGAATCGTAGAGCGTGTCGAATTAGACCAGAAAATTTGCAATTCCTGGCGATTCGTGTGATTCGTGGTCTGTGTGAAATAAGGGCATAAAAAAGACAAAATTTCAGGGTTATCAATAAACTCAACGTACTTTTTTCTTGGGAGTTCAATCCCCCTTGTAATAATGTACCCTGATGGGAAAGCAGTAATTACATTCATACCATATATATTACATTCACATATTTACCTGGAGTTGAGACTCCTCTGTCAATACAAGAAATCAAGACTAACGCTGCAAGCAGTGGATGCCCAAACATGGTAGTGTTCTCCACACTAACAAAGACAGTATACCAATATGCTGCAGTATGACTGTTAACAAATGCTCGTTTCTCTGATGATCTGAGGCGAATTTAATTTATTTCCATTTGGTTTGTTTTGTGTGTTTCAAAGCGAGGCTTGGCATAAAAAGCACATTGCTTTTTGTATGCGGGCGTCGCTTTACTTCTTTATGTAAAGCTATCTAACAAAATATATCTGAGCCACTGCAACTAATAACAATGCTATGCAGCGTTGAAAGCCGTGAATAAAAGTTGTATTATCCACCACCCCATGCGGTTCCGTTACTAAAACCCTAATGATTTCTAAAAACACGAAATGTTTATTGATTTTTTTTACAATATCATTACTTTAAATCAACAACAAAAATTGACAATTGAATAGAGAGAAAGGGAAAACTTTTATGAAAAAAATTCCGATCGATCAGTTTCTGATGACGATATTCAAATAGATCTACAGACTGCCTTGTCGTTATGATAACACTTGGACAGTTGACTAAAAACCGCGGTGAAAAAACGCGCCGCTATTTTGTAAGGCATACGGATGCCGTATTATCAGATAGAATTTAACTTACGGAAAATACATACTCGGATGTCTCCGCACTCGACAATAACTTTGTTGTTAGTATGGAGCTTGCGGAATCAGCCGAGGATTGCCGATTGACGATCAACCAATCGGCGTTTTCACCAAACTTTGATGAAAAATTTTGAAACATGGATTCAATTGGCTTATATAAAATAGGTCAAACTATTATCGTCAGAGGTTACTTGACACGATGGAGATAGGCTACAGTGAAAAGGTTAGTGTCAAGTTTGCTCTGAAGCTCAGGGTGTTGCCACCATTCACCATATGGATCTGTGTATGTCTTTCTGGTGTCAAATAATAGCCAATTGATTTCCTGTTCACATGGGAACATGTAATAGCTTTATGGGATATATTGATACACATTTCAGAGTTTTCCCCCAGGCATTATGCACAAGATTTGGCTTGGCAATTGGGGCCTATATGATGCCGTAAGTTGAGTTCATTTTATAATCCAATGGATGTGCCTGTACTACCTGTATTTTATTTTCCCTTACAAAAATGTTTTTTCAAAACATTTTAAAAGAGATTTTAGTCAACTATTTTTTGTCAAGTTGCATAATAAAGATATATATTTTTTATTTTTTATTTTTATTGTTAATAAAACCTGTGGCAATATTCAACATACTTATCATGTACCAGCATAAAATATTATTGTATAATTTTATCAACTATATTTTGTAAATTTAAGATTCTTAACATGCATATATTACATTGTTGGTTATGTTTATTTATTTAACTATTTATTCATTCATTTAATTAAATACCCCCAGTATACGAATTTGCATCAGCTTTTTAAAATATTAACATGTGGTTTTAATAATTCAACTTTGTGTAATAATTTTTAATATATCTCACAGTCTAGTCTATACCCTGATGTTCCTGCTATTCATTGTGGCCTGGCCCATAGCAAAGCTGCTGGATCTGCTCTTAGGCAAGGAGCATGGCACGTTTTATCGCAGAGCGGAACTCGGGGTACTGGTTGACCTCCATGCTGATAAAGCTGGGGGTGGTGAGGAGGGAGGTGAGGAGAAACTTACCCTTGATGAAGTACTTATTATTAAGGTAGGAAAAATGTACATGCATGTGTATTCCTGGTACACATATTGTACGTCTTATTACATTGTACATGTACAATATATGGTGCATGGATATGTGGTTAATATACTGTACACAAATTTTTCACATTAAATAAGATACTGTGTACCAGAATAATGTCAGATCTTTTTTTAAGTAAGAGAGGAAATAATTGATTTTATATACAAGAATGAGGCAGAAAACAGCCATATACACTTGCACATGCATGCACTGTACTAGCACAGTGTATATATTGTATACATATACATGTATGGATATGTGCTAATACTGGTGCATTTACATACACATACATGTATACTCATCACAGTGCACTAAACCTCATAGTCCTAAATCTTTTTTTCTGTGTCAGATGCCACTTTTCTGATCCATCTACAGTGTTCATGTAAATTGGCCCTGTAATAGTCTACATATTATTATGCTACATGCCATTCTGAATCCATTAATTGACAGACAGTACACAATTGTATTCTCAACTCACTACTGTAGAGATATTGATTTGTCTATTTAGGGGGCTCTGGAGATGAGAGATAAAACTGCCAAGGATGCCATGGTACCATTGAATGATGTATTCATGCTAGACATCAATGATAAGATGGATCTTTTGACTATGAATAAGGTTAATTGCATAAATTAATCTTTTTTTAATTGTTCCGAATTATTCAGTGTTAATGAAACTCAATACTTTATTTAGTACTTATATATTATTTAGTGTTTTGGGTTCATATTTTCATACCTTACATATGTGTGAAAATGGTGTAAAAGACATTATAAAAGAAATAAATATAATTGTTATAACCAGAAATAATGCTTTGATGTACGTGGAATTGGTATAAACCTGTACATGCACAGGTACTATTCAACCAGATAAAAAATTATTTTACATTTCAGATTCTAACTGCCTCTCATTCGAGAGTTCCGGTCTATGACGGGGACAAGGAAAACATCATTGGAGTTCTTCTAGTCAAGACACTAATTACTCTGGATCCTGATGATAAAGTGCCAATACAAAGTTTGAAAAACACAAAGTCATGGAGAGATGTGCATTACATAGAGGAAACCAAACCACTGTATGATTTACTCAATGAATACCAACTGGGAAAAGGTAATGTATGTGCACCAGCAGCTATAAGGGCTCATTCCCAAAAAAACTGCCAGTCTACGTTGTTAATCTCAACCGGGATTCCCGCTGAGTGCAACCAGCTAAACATGCCTCCTCCTGGTGTTGGTTACTGGTAGAATGCAGAAAAGCTGGTGATTATACCAGAATGTTTGAAACAAGGGTAGGCATGTTGAACTGATTGCATTCAGTTGTCATGGAGTAAAGGGTTGATTGTTCTACCTGGATCGATAGTTTCAATGGAAATGAGCCCTTCAAGCAGACAAGTCTATTTGCCAGGTGCATTTTCTAACTGAAATGAGACGTTTGAGATTTCTTGTAAGCTCTCAGACATGAATAATTAACCTGTAAACTCAAACATTTCAATTGGGCAGGTGTTTTAATTTTTTTGTTGAATACATAATCATGGTTAAATATGCAAAAGTCATGAATGTTTTAAATCATTAAATGGTATGTGATAGTGCATTAAATTTTACAATTTTTCTCTTTCATAGCACATCTGTCAGTTGTCTTGGCTAAGCTTGATGAGGAGGAAATTGCTTCTGCCACTACCAAACAGGTATGGTATTTTTTAGACAGATACAGATCTTTTGCTTTGTGGATAATATTCTAACATTTTGATACCAAAAACTCATAACATGTTATCATATAAAACAACACCTTTCATAATATTTGCAAACAGTCAATGAATATTTGGAAGTAATCATTATTTTTCATAATAATATCATTTTCCCCAAATGCACAAGTACTAGTAAGAGCATTTAAGTGTTCAATCTGTTGAATTGAAACTTCACAGACATTAAACCCAAAAATGTAGTGGAGCACCTGTTTTTTTTTTTTTTTTTT